AGGTGCATGAAACTGTCATTTATGTGGAGAAAACAGACAAGGACCAATTCCTCACATTCATGTTAAGGACACCTAGCGAGACAAACAGGGGGTTTAAAATGAACAAAAGGAAGTGCTTTTTCCATCCAAAACGTTTTCAGATGTGCAGCTCATTGTCCAGGTGTGCTGCAGAAATCAAGGCGTAAACAAGTCGTGTTACATTTAGGGAGTACAGATCCATGAGTGGCTGTTAAGCACCGTTATCCAGGCTTGATTTCAGCTCCCAAGTCTGACTTGCTGACCGGTACAAACCAGGAAGATATGCCAGGAGCAAGCAGGCTCTGCTGCGCTCCCTGTTCTCATACTTTCCCCCACTGCTTCGTCCTGCCTAGGGCTGGAGACAAAACGCCGGGCTGGATGAATTTTGTGACTCGTACGGTTCATGTTGCTGCTTCTTGATTTCCTGACTTGGGACACAAATTCCCTTTCCCGAAATCAGTGTGCTGACCTGTTGGGGGTCTCCTGGTATGTTCAGTCAGCTGATATTTTGTACCCTCGCTGTTGAATCCTGACATGGGGCGATTTCCACATTCAAGGAACCGTGAGCTTATTTTTTGAGTGCACGTACCTAAATTCTAGCCTGGCTGTTGGGATCACTGCCAGGTTCTGCAGACAGTCCCAGCTGAATTAGCTTGAGCCCTACAGAACAGCCTTTCTTTAGGAAAAAGGACTGTTGAAGGAAGATACGCTCCAGGGCAGATCAGCTAATAGGAACATGTAGCAGACAAGACCAAATAAGAACAGATGAATTTAAAGATGCAGATCTTGAACTGAATCATTCAGAAGGTGGTAGATTTCCATAGCTCTGGGCTGTGAGAGGCAGCCCAACGCTTTGCAGAGCTCTTGCTGCCAGCCTTGCAGGTAGCTGTGACTCAGATGGAGAGTGTTCTTGGGGTGGGAAGGGGCTCTTGGAGAGTTGCTGTAAAGCCTTTTCTAGGGCTAGGACCTGTTTTGCTCAAAGACATTTTTGGAAGGATCAAGCGCAGCGTGGAGAAATGACCAAGCAGTATTATGTGCACGATGCCTGAGCTGGGAGAATGGGATTGAGTGTCCTGGGCTGCCTGTTAGTGAGTGAGCCCTGTTCTTGTGCTGAAGAGTTTGAAGTGGAGGTGCAAAAATCTGCTCTGCCCTGCATGCGTCAGAAAGGAGAGGTTTGCCTGCAGAACCCGTGTAAGGATGTAGCAGCCACTCTGCATTCGCTGCCCTACTCGTGAGGGTTTTGATAGTGAGAGATGTCTCAGAAGAAAGCTGCCTGGTACCCCTGCTGCAGCTCTGCTCCAGGCTGGCCGCCCAGCTCGTTCATACCCTGTGCAGCGCGAGCGTGTGCCGAAACCCATCCTCTGGGAAGCGTTAGCTTCTCTAGCTGGCAGCGGGCTCTGGGGATGGGCTGACCCCGGGGCACCCCAGTGGGGCCTGTCAGGGCCAGGCGTAGCAGAGTAGCCAAACACAGGGCCCGGGAAATTGCTTTTCCTTTGCAATCAGAGGCACTGTGACACGAGCTGAAGCTGAACTACTCTCCTCTTTGCAGACCTCACCGCTGCATTAGTAGCTGCCAGTCCTACTCAACCTTCAGCTCGGAGAACTTCTCTGTGTCCGATGGAGAGGAGGGGAACACAAGCGATCATTCCAACAGCCCGGATGAACTGGCCACCAAGCTGGAAGATGAGCTGGCAGAGAAGCTGGAGGACATATTGTCCCAGACTCCAGAGATCCCCATCGAAATCTCCACCCAGTCTGATGGGCTTTCAGACAAAGAGTGTGCTGTGCGGAGGGTCAAGACACAGATGTCTCTGGGCAAACTCTGTGCAGAGGAACACAGCTGTGAGGTGAGTTGGAAATTCAGCAATGTCCTCTTCCTTCTATGGAGTAAAAACCAAAGAATATTATGGGAAGGAATCCCAGGGCTGGAAAGTTGGCCCAGGAGATGCTGTGGTAGATGTGCTCCAGTGAAACAACTGCTTAAATACCCAGCCTTTCTCACACTTGGCCAGATGAGTAGATGGAGCAAAGTAGCACCAAAAAAGCTGAACATAATTTAGCCGTCAAAGTGAGGGTGATACTGGGAGGCCATCGGATTTGAAGTTGCAATACGTGGGACAAAAACACGTCACAGAAAGTAGGTAATGAAACAGAAGGGATAGAAACTGCCTGCCTCAGACTTACCCAGGGGCAGCCTTGCTGACGGAGCTAAAATGATGTTCTTCCTTTTACTGTCTTGTGAGTGTTTGGGAGGGCTGGGGCAGAGCCCACTGCACCATCTCCTAACTCCACTGATGTTTGGTGGTGCTCTGACCAGATATTCTTCTGACATGCTTTTCTCGTTGAGGGAGACAAGTGACCTTTGGTTGGGTGTTTGTGTGCTGCTGTTATCTCCTGTGTGTTGCCAGTCTGTCTTTCTCTGCTGGTAGTGACCTTTGCCTGTCTGCTGTTACAGATTGTGAGGGTGCGGTTGGTCTGCAGTGCAGGAACGTTGCTCAAACCTCCCCCTTTCCTTTTGCTTTGCAGAACCCAGCACAGTTTGGAGAATCAGACTGTGACTCGTCTGAAGGGGAGTGTTCTGATGCCACGGTCAGGACCAATAAGCCCTGCAGCTCTGCTACTTGGTAATACAGATCTCCCCCAAAGCTTCCTGATACTGGCATTTTGATTTCCCTGAGATTCCACTTCATTCCCCTTCATCACACTTTACAGGAAGAGAAGATGCTTCTCCTTCCCACCCCAGGAGTGATTTGCAATAACCCGAATCTCTGGAAAATGTCCAAATGAAATTAATTCTCTTTGAGCATTTCAATCAAGAATGGCAGGGATGTATTTTATTGAATAATCTAGTTACTGTAACATGGATATTTATTTTTTTGACATTTTAACACTTTTTACTGTAAAGAGTGGATTGTATTTATAGACACACAGACTTGTTGCAAAAAAAAAAAAAGTTCAGAAAGCAAGCACATTACAGAGAAACATCCTGGGAGTCCTGCCTGGACAGCTTCGTGTTCAGCCGTGGGGGGATTCTCTTGCTGCTTTCACAGGGGACCAGGCCTCGTGGCCCTGAAGATTGGAGAACAGATCAAGAAAACTAAACCACTCAGTCTTATCAAATGAGGAAGCATAAAAAGACCTTACTGTAGGGTAACCTGTGAACAAAGCGTATTCAGTATAACCAGCTGGGTCATTTTTAATCAGAAGGTGGACACGTTCCTGGAGAAAATTGGTACCGAGGTGCTAACATCCAGGGTCTTCTGAGTCGCTACATCCCCAGGAATGTAATAGTGGGTTTTATTTTAAGGGTTTTTAGTTTCTTTTTTTAATCAGCATTTTGTTGTGAGATCCTGCAAATGTATTCTAACCTCGTCCTCTCGAGAATTGGTGTAAGAGCACTTCTTAACATCGTCCTTGCTTCACTCTGGCAGTGTCGATCTCCAGCTGGGCAGGGAAACCTCTTTCGGATGCAGTATGCTATTTCCCAGTTTACTTCCTCCTCTTACCTCCTGTCTGTTGCAGTCAGTCAGAGAAATCAATCAAATCAGTGTCGGAAAAGCAAGAACTTGCAAACCGTGGAGAGCACATTCTGCAGAGCCCGAGCTCTGTTCTGGGGAGGAAACTGGAGATGCCGGTACTGGACTTGGAGAAGCAGTCTCTCACCTACAACAGCGTCGATAACCAGCAGAGAGCTGTGTGTTGAGGAGGAAGACTGGGAATCACTGGCCTAGATAAAAGCATCAGCCCTGCTGTGTCTCCTCATTCACTGTACGTTCTTGAAAGCGTTAAGAGGCTGCCTGCCCTTCATGTCAGGCTTGGTGCAGAGGAGGGTGCACAGGGAACCTCGCTGGTGGCTGTGGCACAGCTGTGGCTCGGTTGTACCGTGAGGCCTCTGTTTCCCCTTGGAGCTGAAACCCCGCAGGTGAAAGTGAGGACAGCACTGGTATGTGACAGGCCGAGGCATTGGCAGATGAGAAAAATTTGTTTTCTGATAGAACTCATAGTGCCTTCCCTTCAAACACTACTCTTCTAAATCCATACTTAAAGAGAACAAAACGATAGAGCACGTCCCCTCCCTCATTCCCCCTTAGTTGACGTCCCCCTGCGAGAGCTTTCACGCTGCCCTTCCCAGCGTGCTGGCTGGCTCGGCCGCGGGGCTGCTCTGCAGCCGGGCACACCAGCCTGAGGTGAATGGCAGGAACGGACCGCGGACAGGTACTTCTGTTGCTTTGGTTGTTTACATTTTCTGTTAAAATATTGTTTTGAATTTAACTGTGGTAATTTATAGCCTCATGGCAAAATGAAGGAAAATGTCTTATACAGAGAGCAGTATTGTATGAGTTAAATTATCCCGTATTTTTAAATTTTTGTAGCTGGACTACACACAGATCTTAAGTTATGATGTTATTTTATTATTTATTATCATTTCTGTAGATCAGAAGGTTGGCTTCACCGCTAGCACAACTGTAATCTCTTTGTGTGATGTTACCTTCTCCCTGGTCGCTGGGGGGGTGGGGGCGGCGCTGGTCTCGGTGGCTGTCGGTGG